ATATCCCCAATAGCTTACGCCTAAATGTATCAATATCCCCAATAGCTTACGCCTAAATGTATCAATATCCCCAATAGCTTACGCCTAAATGTATCAATATCCCCAATAGCTTACGCCTAAATGTATCGACCTACACGTCTTTTGTCTTACCTCATGAATAATTCTGCTTCACGCGTCACTGCATTAAAAGCTTGTAACCAGATCCATAGAATGAGAATCCATTGAATCCAATATCCTGCCACCGTGTGCTGGAAGACTCATGATTGGGGAGTCCACTGCTGTGATAGTGTAGGGCTACGAATGATTGTTAGTGACATTCTTGACATTCTGTTACTTTGGTTTAACGTAATCTAAATAATAGCAGCTTCTAAAGGGTGAGTATTTCTCAATGTTGATCTTCATGTTAAGTAGTTGTTGTAATGTTCTCGCTTTAAGATAAGATAAGATAATATTCTTTTATTGATCCATGCAAATGGAAATGTTTTATGCTTGCATTATACATTTTCAGCACATAAATAAAACAATTTGAACACAAGACATTTATAATAAATTAGTTCAAACAGACATTCAGTGAGTTCTCTAAGCCAAATCGGGGACTTATTAGTTCTCATTAAGATGTGTGACTTCAGAGGGAGCACGCTGGTAAATTCGTACAGATTGGGGGACAAAAGAAATTTTTTATCTTTCAGTTCTCGCCCTGATGGAAAGAATTCGTCCCGAACGGCCCGATCCTAAGTATCTGTGATAAAGAGGATGGGATGTATCATCCAAATAAATGTGTTTAGTTTTACAAAAACATCTTTCTTCAAATAGTTCTTCAAGTGAATGATGTTTAGTTTGTGTTATAATTGTATTTAATTAAATAACCCCTAAACGCAATTTTTTTCGTGTAAATCCTTTATATGCATTTTTATTATTTTATTTTGATATTTGATTGTTCCACCCGCTTACACAAGCGCAGATTTATTTCAACTACTATTTCAGAAAAACAAAGGAAAATATTACGTACATAAACGTACTTAAGATGTTTTTAAGAATCACATTTAGTATTAGCGAATTTTATTTCGTGAAATCAATGGCATCATATTTCCTTCATCTTCCCCTTAAAAGACAGTAAAATGTATTTTTGTTTGTGGGGTTGGGATGGGGGAGCGGGGCTGAAAATTTGAAAGAATGTGCTGTCATCGGCAACGAATCTATTTGCAAAGGTTCAGCTAGATAGGTTGACGGGAAATGAGTCAATTAGCCGTCCGAAGATGTTGCCACACACGCAGCCAGAAAGAAACACGAACATAAGCGAAGTTAAAATAATATATATATATTTTTAATAAGAGAGATATATATTTACTGATCTGATACTGATATCAAAACTAGTTTTGGCAGTTAATTGCTACACAACACTTAAAAAAAATAAAGTTACATTTCCTTACATAACGTACTATTTTCGTCCTTCGCACGCGCAGATGTCATCATCATCAGCATCAATGGCACTATAGCCCATGTAGGGCCCTGGTCTGTTCCACCACATCCTTCCATTCGGAGCGATCCATGGCTTTCCGCCTCCATACGCTAGCCTCCAAATGGTGTAAATCCGTCTCCATATCATCATCAATCCATCTCAGCCTAGGGCGACCGGTGATGCACGTGCAGATGACCAATGCAATATTCGACTTGAGTGGTAGTCTTGAAGATGACCAAGGCAATATTCGACTTGAGTGGTAGTCTTGAAGATGACCTAGGCAATATTTGTCTTGACTGGTAGCCTTGAAGATGACCAAGGCAATATTCGTCTTGAGTGGTAGTCTTGAAGATGATCAAGACAATATTCGAATTGTCTGGTAGCCTTGAAGATGACCAAGGCATTATTCGACTTGGCTGGTAGCCTTGGAGATGACGAAGGCAATATTCGTCTTGAGTGGTAGTCTTGAAGATGACCAAGGCAATATTCGACTTGTCTGGTAGCCTTGAAGATGACCGAGGCAATATTCGACTTGACTGGTAGCCTTTAAGATGACCAAGGACATATCCGACTTGACTGGTAGCCTTGAAGATGACAAAGGCAATATTCGTCTTGAGTGTTAGTCTTGAAGATGACCAAGGCAATATTCGACCGGAATAGTAGCCTTGATTTGAGCAGCATTTTGTTTAAATGAGGAGAGTTGCTCTATTCGTCAGCCTCACTCTCTCGTCCTTGTCTATCCAATACAATGGCAAGACTTATCTAGACGACCGGAAATAGACCAGGATGCAGTACATGACCAGCAGTGCTATTTTTGTGTGTTTCCCTGTGCTATTATATTCTCCGCGTCTTAGTTGTCGGAATTGTCATTGTGTCAATGTCATACCGCCTACGGGACCTATTCTCCAACTAACTTGACCGATAGTTATATTCTAATGACAGAACAAGGCATATAAGAGAAATAGTTCAATACATTATTGAGACTAAGTTTCAAATCAATAACATTACGTTTTACATGTAGGTTCGACATTAGTATAAAAAAAAATTGTATTTACGTTTTAAGTTGCTACTATTTCTTTGTATGATGATTAAATTCAAGAACACCGAAAAAAATTCCGTCAGATTTAAAATAAAATAAATGTAGAAGTTTTATTTCGTACAAATAAGGACGGGCGTAAATCCAGTGATGTACACAACTCACATTGTTGCATTCTCTTCAGGTGACTGACAAATATGCGTCTGTTCCACTCACTAAGTTTAGAAAACCTTTCTGGGAAGGAATCGTCGTCTCCATTTCTGGTGAGCAGAGAAAAAGACGCTCGCATTTCTTTACTCAATGAGGTCAAAGAACGGAAACAGCGGGTCCCGACCCCTGAAAAGGTTCATGTTTGCTTTTTTTTTAGCTTCTGATTTTCTCACTTCATTCATGTTTTGTTTTTGTTTTGCTTGTTTGTTGTTGTTATTGTTTTTGTTGTTGCCCAGAACACAAGAAATTGAATCTTTAATTGAATACTCGCACGCGTTTAAGCCACCACGCAGGCCTGATGGAGGTAATTCTCAATACCCCAGCACCCTCATGCGCCGGTCAATATTAAATTGACCAATACTTATACAGCAATAAATGAAGCATTATTTCTGGTGTCGTGGGAATCATGTAACTGTTTAGTGGAAAACCGAAATACAATTTTCATTGAAAGAAAAGAGTACAAATCTTTTTAAGACTATTGTATTAAATAGAGACCAACCGAAAGTGATTTTCTGATTTCGGCCGAAGCCGAAAATAGGCTGAAACTTTAAAAATGACTTTCGGCCGAAACCGAAAAAAGGCCGAAAGTTAAAAATGACTTTCGGCCGAAATCGAAGCCGAAGCTGAAACCGAAAATGAAATATTTTGATATTTTGAAATTCGTTCCCGCATACATTCTGCATACATCGAAAATGATGGGGGAAAGTATAAATATTTACATTCTTTTTATAAAAAATGAGATTATCGTGAATATTAATAAATAAACATCTAATATAACATCTTGTTAAAGATCGTTTAGTTTGTTCTTAAAGATCACTTAATTTGTTGTTAAAGATCGTTTAGCTTTTTGTTAAGGATCGCTTTATTTGTTCTTAAAGATCACTTAGTTTTTGTTTAAAGATCTTTTAGTTTGTTATTAAAGATCATTTAGTTTGTTCAAAAAAGATCACTAAGTTTTTTCTTAAAGATCGCTAAGTTTGTGTTATTACAAGAACGTTTAGTTTGTTCATAAAAATCGCTTAGTTTGTTCTTAAAGATCTTTGATTTTGTTCTTAAATATCGCTTAGTTGTTCTTAAAGATCATTCAGTTTGTTCTTAAACATCATTTAGTTTGTTTTTATACATCATTTAGTTTTTTTTATTAAAAATCGTTTAGTTTGTTCATAAAGATCTTTGATTTTTTTCTTAAATATCGCTTAGTTGTTCTTAAAGATCATTCAGTTTGTTCTTAAAGATCATTTAGTTTGTTTTTATACATCTTTTAGTTTTTTTATTAAAAATCTTTTAGTTTGTTCTTAAAGATCGCTTATTTTGTTGTTGAAGATCGCTTAGTTTTTTTTTATAAAGATCGGATCGCTTAGTTTGTTCTGATAGATAATTGATTTTGTTCTTTAAGATCGATTAATTTGTTCTTAAAGATCTTTTAGTTTGTTCCTAAAGAACATTTAGTTTTCTTTTAAAGATCGCTTAGTTTATTCTTATAAATCATTTAGCTTACTATTAAAGATCAATTGTTTTGTTCTTAAAGATCATTAAGTTCGTTCTTCAAAATCGCTTAGTTTGTTCTTTAAGATCGTTTAGTTTTTTTTTAAAGATCGCTTAATTTGTTCTTAAAGTTCACTTTATTTGTTTTTAAAGATCACTTTATTTGTTTTTAAAGATCGTTTAGTTTGTTCTTAATGATCGCTTAATTTGTTATAAAGATCGTTTAGTTTGTTCTTCAATGTCGCTTAGTTTGTTGTTAAATATCGCTTTCGCTGAGTATTAGATGACCAAAAACCTCAATCACTTTCGGCCGGATGGCCGAAAGTCAAAGTCAATTTGGCCGAAACAGAAAAAAAACGAAAGTTAAATTTTCTCTTTCGGCCGAAACCAAAATTAAGCCCGAAAGTTAACTTTCAGTTTCTGCCAAAACCGAAACTTGGCCGAAAGTGATAAAATGGCCACTTTCGGCGCCGAAACCGAGGCCGAAGCCGAAATTCGGTCGGTCTCTAGTATTTAAAAAAGGTTAGAGAGAAAGGGGGGGGGGCAACATTTCACAGTCCCGGCTAAGTTATATTCTCCTTTCCCCTCTGAAATCCAGTCATAGACGCTGCATTCTAATTGGTAGAGCAGAATTTTGTTATTTTAGAAAAGACCTCAATTTAGGACAATAGGAGTTAACTTATAACTTTTCATGTGATTAAACATTAACTAATAGTAACATTTTTTTATCAAACACGTGAAGCCCATTATAAAACGCCAAAGTAATCGACATATTCTCCATTTTGAAATGTAGGCCTACATTACTAATACTTTGTTCTCTTTCACTGTAACGTGAATGGTCAAACAAAATATAGAGTATAGAGCAAGATCAACTTTTGTTTACAACAAAATCTTTGATAGAGATAAAGCAATCGATAAAATAAGAATCTATAAGTATTGGTCATTAAAAAAATTGTTTCTTGCAAGTTGTTACTTAAGATGATGTCATAATTGTACAGGTTTCTACAAGGCATTAAACTAACACACTTGACATTATAGACCGTCCCTAGATTAAACGTTTTATCTTTTTCAACTGTTAAAATATTTAGAACTAATCTTCATTAGATGTTGCCAGGTTTTTGCTCCTCAAGTAAAAAGCAAAATACTTTTTTTAAACGGCCGTACTCCCCACGCTCTAACTTAAAGGTTTACTCTGTGGTCTATATTTAACATATTCCAAACTTTTTCATAAAGACAGTTCCCACATCTTTATTGCTCAGCATAACCTAACGAACAACATTCTCAATTTTTGTTATTCTTAACACTTGAAGACAGCGGTTCTCAAACTGGCGTCCAGCTGTGAGAGACGACGCCTCGGCAAACAACAACAGATCCTCGCCGGCGTAGCGCAGCGATGCAGGGAACAAGAGGTCAATGACCTGTCTGAGGTCATGTCAGCGAAGTGTGACCTCGTGTCTCCGAGACTTGGGGCCCGGACATCTGCAGGGACTGAGTGGCCATTCTACATGGCCAGGCCACTCAACACGGACCGGGCGTCTGATGTCATCTCAGACTCTTTTTTTTATGCTGGTAATTTTGATTGGTTGTTTAAGGACACGTGGACCCATGATACCTGATGCTGTCTTCTTTGAATTGCCAGGAAATAACTATGGGGACACCCGTAGAAATATAATGGAAGCCCTCTATAAAAAAAAAATGGCAGTGTCTACACGTCCGGCGCGCCGGACGTCTATCTCCCGCACTATGTGTCCGGCGACCAAGTCACATGACCGCCGTAACAAAGTGGCGAGAGATATCGTGTCGGTCAGCCTTGTCACGTGACTGCGAATAATTCAAAACTATTGTTAATTTTAAAATCTATTTCTCTACCAAGTAATGTACTGAGTATCTTGAATGCAAATAATAGAAAAAGAAACTTGTAAACATTTTTGTTTAGTTTGTTATTTTTTGTGTACCAGTAATCCATAAAATAAATTAGGGGCCAGTGTGGCAACCAATAAAAGTTAAAGATTTCATTTTAAATTATTTCAATTGCTACAAAATATTTAAAAACTTCTCATGAAACTACTGTTGCTGAGGAACATGATAATATAAATATATACAAAATATTTTAATTAAAATGGGAAGAAAAAAAACGACCCTATCCCCGGTATAGATCCTCAAACATTCCTATCGTCAAGCAACCACTCTACCACAAGACCAGACAAGATGTACTAAATCGTACTTCGTTTGGAATTATAAAAACTACTAGCCGTCCAGCCATGTCCGGCGGTCACGTGACAAGTCGCCGGACGTGTAGACACTTCGAAAAAAAATTGTTCTGGTATAGGCGCAATTCAAAGGGCAAATAGTAAGCACTGAGTGCGGTTGGGGGCGCAGAGTATTATGTTGAAATTAAAAGTAGTGAGATAGTTGGTAATTACGCTAAGTGGCATCCTTATTAAAAGGACTAATCTAGACATTGCTATTAAAAGGACTAACCTAGACATTGCTATTAAAGGGACTAACCTAGACATTGCTATTAAAAGGACTAACCTAGACATTGCTATTAAAAGGACTAACCTAGACATTGCTATTAAAAGGACTAACCTAGACATTGTTATTAAAAGGACTAACCTAGACATTGCTACTAAAAGGACTAACCTAGACATTGCTATTAAAAGGACTAACCTAGACATTGCTATTAAAAGGGCTAACCTGGACATTGCTATTAAAAGGACTAGCCTGGACATTGCTATTAAAAGGACTAACCTAAATAGCGTAGCAAGGGTGTTGCGGTCGTGCGTACCGCACCCGGTGACACCGACCCAGAGGGTAAAACCAAATTGAAAAATTGCATATTTATAGAGCACTTATTGCTAGGTCTAATCTAATTGCATAAAAGGATCACACATGAAATTTCCTCACATGTAACCAAACCAAATGCATGTCTTATTAAAAGTTCAATGTTGATACGTCAGAAATGAGGTGACCCTATAACTAAGTCAGAAAACCCCAATTTTTACCATGAGTCAACGTCGCTTGAAGTGTTCGATAACTTTCGTAAGTGACCGGAATATATTTATAATTTCTAAGAAATATAGCTTTCCATTTATACCGAATACGATGTGGTCGGGCGATTCTGAATGCATGAATTGATGAGTGTATTGATTGCTGTCAACCACAGATCAGATCATCAGCAATCACGGAAGTAGCATATTTGTTTGGGGGGGTGCTCACTCCAAGGGTCCACGATCAGCAAGTGAAGAAGACTTATTGGTGCCCGTTCCCAAATGAACCTCTTTCTATGATGAGTCAACTAAATGGGAACTTTTAAGAGAAACACCAAGGCGTGGAAAACACCTTCAGGCAGCTGATAATAATTTTTACAACGTCATGTACTCGTCAGTGTTTGATGCTTTGAAATTCGCAGCTCAATGGGACTTCCTGGAATCTCTTCCAATACTCTCGATAAGCCTTCGATTGTTTCCTACGATCTGTGTGTCTGTGGTTTTATTTAAGACTTATCAAGACCTTTATACGATCCGCCATGGGGCAGTCTATGATTTCTAACCTGTCTCTGATCTCAATTGAAAGTGATACAGTGTAGAATATTGATTATGATCAAGTCATTTACAGGTTTGCAACTTTGAAGAACAGGAAAGGCAAATGTTAGATAAATTAAATTTAATGAAAAATAACTATACTTAACATTGTTATAGTTCTTAAATACATTTTGCTCCTAGCTACGCCACTTATTAAAACTCCATATATTATGTAATGTATCGTGTGGAGGACGGCGTTCAGGTTGAAACACTATGAACTACAACATACAAAGTAGAAGAAAATATGAACATTCAACAGCTAAACAACTTTTTGTGATCTTTCAGATTTTCCCCTACTCTGTATACTCTATATTATATTTCATGTTATATGTTTAAAGTGAGTGTCTGGATATTTTTATTTATTTTTTACAATCCGTGTTTCGTTATTCTTAGGCACAACGCCCATAAACGACAGAGACGAAAATTACAAAGAGAAACCTTATACATTCTTCCCGGCAAGACGCATCATCAGGCAACAGAATAAACTCGTCCCTATCTCTGGTGGACACCCAAGCTTGCTGTTCCACGACTACAAGAAAACAAGGCATTCGGAGATAGCTTCAGATGATTTCAAATCAGTGGATCCTCCCCAAACGTCACAAAAACACCACCACCTTCCAGAACCACACCGACGTTCACCTGGCAACCAGTCAAAGTATGTGCACCCCCTCCACGACAAAAATGTCCACCCTTTCCGTGAAAAAAGTGACGGCCAAGTACCGTCCCGTTTAAGCTACATCCAAGTTGGAACTAGCTCCTACTTTACACACGATTCAGCGGCGTCTCTGTCTTCTTCAAATCAAAATCTTGGGCCACCTGTGGCCGTTTCGACTCCTGCCTACCCAGACTCCCACGTCGGCTATAGACAACATTTGTTGGGCTCCGTCCAGCACAAGACGATGTCTAGATTTCACAAATTGAATATCAGCTCAGACAAACTTGTTCCCACCTTACTGCAGAAGTCACCTCGCGATCACTGTGGTCCGAAAATACCAAGTCTGGAATCCCTTGGAATGATCATTAATCAGAACATCGATAGTCCCAGAAGTTAAGACTGTTCACTGAGATGTGTTACCGGTTAGGGATCATCTACATTTTTGCAAAGCAAGCAAATATGTTTTTTCAAATTGAGAGTAATATTGATGAAATAATAAAAGATACGAAGGAGACTGAAAAAAGCATATGAATAAACTGAGAAATTTTTTGTAAGAGAAGAAGAAATCGAAATATTTAAATGCCACTAACTTAATTCAAATGTATTAAATATTCCTCTGTTTATAAACTGCCGACTTCTCACTGGATTTGGAAGAAAAGTTAAACTAGTGGACATGGACGTCATGTTGCCGATTAGTTTATTTCATCCGTCCTCTTTCTAAGTATAGGGAGTCTATGACAGTCTGGTCCATCATTGCTGTGAAAGATTACTTCCCTTGTGCTGATTTGTTTGCGCATGTCCAAATTACGCTATAGTTTTTAAAAGGATTAAATAAATAAGATTTTAATTTAATTGAGTCTTTATAACAAGTTAGATTGACCCGCATTCAGACTCTATGATATTATGTTGTTTGTTGTTTTTGGTTTTTTTTTGGGGAGGGTGGGTTGTGGGCTGGATCGGAGTAACTTTTGAAGAGCCTGGTGCAAACATGTAGATAAAACCCAAGTAGACTCTTGCCAACCACTTTAAAACAATGCATCTGAACTCTGAACTTTTGTTTTCTTAAGCTACTGTCCAATAAAAATAAATCGTATTTTAAGTCAACTGCGATTGGCCAATAATTTCTTTCCGGAATTAAAAAGTTCCGCGCAACTAAATTGAACATTAGTAAAATATTTATGTACCGGTATTTCATATATAAATCATGCATAATGTTAATCGGATAAGTAGGCCTACCATTCTCAAGATTTAGAGTAGGCCTGGTGCAAGTGCACCACTTGCATCTTGGTTAATCCGTTCCCAAGTGTTAGAGTTGCCTTATATTAATAATACTAGGAGGTTGCAATATAGTTTAAAATTATCATCACCCAGTGCACTTGTTCAAATCCGGCGCTAATACATTTACGACTCCAAGTTTTCCCGAAACTCCAGTTTTGAAATCAGGTGATGTAGACATTATAAAACTGTGTTAGTCTTGATACATATCAGGTGACCTTGTTGTGTTTCATAAACTGTTTCATAAAATGGGTCAAATACCACATTATATAAACCATTCACTATCTCAAGTTCTTGCAGACTTTGATTAAAAAAAATAATAAAACACCTGTTTACAACTATCGGTAGTTTTAATGTAAGTGCATAGGTCCTGGGGTTCACGTGTCTCATCTTTGTGATTTAGCCTTTATTAAACTTAAACAGTTAGGTCGTTGAAGGAGTACAAAAACCACACACACAACAACAAAAAAATGAATTTAGGCCTTAGTTCTACCACAGATATGGCAACAACAAAAAAGAAAAAACACTATTTGTACAATAGTTGTCTGAATTCGGAAAAATATTTAAATTTATCAACACCACACCACTCAAATAATTTTAAAATGTTAACATCAAAAGACAGTTTTTTTCCCCCACTACAAAAAAAAATACAAATACAGAATGACTTAAGTCGCATTCAGAGTCGAGCAATCAGAGACAGGGCATCATATTAGTTGTCTGCATCGACGGCGCTAAGCAACCAAAGCCATTTGGTTCCCCATGCATCGCTGCCCTGCTTGATCGCCTTTGAATAATAAACAAAAAATTATCAACTTGTCAACTAGATGGATGGTATACTAAGCATCGTGTTGTCGTTTTTTGTTTTTTTTAATTCATCAGATTGGCTTCCCTTGGCCTTGTTAACTTACCTCACATTATCTTAAGGCTTTCATTTACTTTACATTATATGAATATATATTTTTAAGCTCATATTTTTTTTATGTAAGCAAATTTGTATATTGTTAAAAAAAATCTATTATTTTATTGTACATTCAAATTAACACACATTTCATTAATCAACATGTTTAAAAAATGTATATTAAAAGAAGTTTATATCTTTCAAAGAATTCCTTTCGAATTTTTTTTTAATGTCGGTCATCTCTAGTGGACAGAGAAAAGTGAACTAAAGCTGTGGTTCAAGATCAAAGTTTGAACAAATACAATCATGAACGTCATTCATTCATGAAACAATTTATGAATACATCACGTCAGCCTAGGGACTAATAAAATGTTGTTGCTGTTGTTATTTTTGTGTGGCTTGAAGCAGATCAGATTAATAAGAAATTAACATAGAATGGCACGTGAACTATTAATTTGAAATTAACGACTCACTTTATGACAAATGTAATCGATTATAAAAAAAAAATGTGTATAAACTTCTTGTATTACAATGTGTCTCAACCTATAAAATAAAAGAGTCAATATTTTAAATTGTGTATTAACAAAGTCATTAAAGTGTGTTTCAACAGCCTCTAGACTTTGTTACACATCTCCTTGAAGTTTGAACATGTATGCCATTACACACTATTAGACATGTTTTAACTCATATGGCTTACACAAGTTAACATTTATCTATCAAGGGATGGGAACTAATTCATTCATATGCTGAAAGACATACAGATAGAGAACATTAAGAAGGCGCTTCCAAATGGAGAATTTTGAAAAGGTCATGAGATATGACCAATAGCCTCATGTGCTGACAATAAATATCCTACTTTTATGGCTTTGTTTTGAATTGGATTTTATGAGAACAATGAGATGGGCAGGGTTATTAAAAACTAAAGATACCCCCTACCCATTATAAATGTCTTTTTTTAATTTACATATTTGAATTAAGAAATAGATCCGATGACATTATTCCTGAGTTCTTATCTGGTTATAATCTGATTTTTTAAAAAGCACATATTTCCTCGCCAAAAGTATATTGATTAAAACAGACATACTCTTATCATAATTTGTCTTCATACCTAGCGTGGGGAGTCCAGAACTGGGCAGTCGAACTGGGCGGTACAAGGTTGGGGGTTATTCCCACAGTACGGAGACTGGCCATCTGAGCGTATCAGATTACACCGTGACGAGGCTAGAGCGACCATTACGGCCCCATGTAAAACAACCCCCAGTGCTCCCTCCATGTAAAACAACCCCCAGTGCTCCCTCCATGTAAAACAACCCCCAGTGCTCCCTCAATGTAAAACAACCCCCAGTGCTCCCTCCATGTAAAACAACCCCCAGTGCTCCCTCCATGTAAAACAACCCCCAGTGCTCCCTCAATGTAAAACAACCCCCAGTGCTCCCTCCATGTAAAACAACCCCCAGTGCTCCCTCCATGTAAAACAACCCCCAGT